GGCGGGGTTAGGAGGGAAGACATGCGGGCGTGCGTCTCCGCCGCCAGCGACCTGTGAGGCTAGAGAGGAGGAAGAGGAGGGAGAGGGAGAGGAGGCCACGCGAGGAGGGAGGTACCGGGAGTGTCGGCGCTGCTGCGGTCCCACAGGTCAGAGGTCAGCGAGCTGACGGACTGCTGGGACAGAGGCCTGCGCTCAATGCGCTCTGACGGGGGAGGGAGGGACGAGGAGAGGAGGGAAAGTCAAAGAGGACGTACATTGGTCCCTTAAATGAACGTCTTCTGCAAACATATAAGAAGAAGAAGAAGAAAAGTTCTCGTCGCTCGTTTGCTTTCTGTTAAACTACCGGACATCCTGCGGAGGCTCTTGGACTGGATGTCGTCCTCCAGAGGGTCAAAGTCAAAGATGGAGCCCGGGTCCGTCCTCCACACCTTCAGGTCTTCAGATGGGGGGGTGGGGGGCATTTAAGATCATCACAGACAGAATATATGAGTTTTCACAAGTCCGCACGTGTGAAAACAGTCAAATAAATAACGTATGAAAGCAAAGCAGCTGACGGCCGGAGGAGAGAACGTTCTAAACAGAGAGAACCACAGAAGAAGAAACTGAAGACATGAAATCAAGTGCAATAATAATACAGAATATCCCAATGGGATTAATTATGTGCCGGTTTTCATGCATTTTTAAAACATGGATTGAAACGGTTTCACTTTTCCTTTATTGCGGCGAGGTGACTGACCTACGATGATGCCTCCCGGTCGCCTGTCCGTCTCCATCGCCTGTGGGTGGGGCCCCCTGCCGTATCCCGCCTCCCCCATCATCTGATTGGCTCTCTGGTAGCGCTCCATGCCGGGCTCGTCCAATCCCGGCGTGCCGCCTCGGCCGCGCGCGCGCTCAAAGTCCTCGTGGTACTTGGCCTGTGGGGGGGCGCAGGAACCACGTCGTCATGGAAACGCCATGGAAATATTTAAGAGGGCCAACACACACACACACACACACACACACACACACACACAGGTCAGGGTGCATTTGGTCAGTGAGCAAAAAAAACACACACAGATAATGTTTTTTGTTAAAATCTTTTACTGTGTACACACGCACACGCACACACACACAGACACACACACACACACACACAGACACACACACACACACACACACACACACACGCACACACACACAGACACACACGCACGCACACACACACAACGCACCAGCTCTGTTCTCCGCTGGTCGGCGTTAGTTAGCGGTGCCTCGGGCTCCGTCCGCGGTGCCACGTCACTCGTGTTAGCTCCTCCCGTAGCGAGGGGAGGCGTGGCTACCGGGCCGCTACCATGGAGACGCAGTCCTGTGACCTCCGGGCGCGCCGGTACTCGGGTGTGTCCGGCTCGCTGCAGCTGAGGCCCTTCATCTCCTGCAGCCCGCGCCGGTACTTCACCTGCACACACACACACACACACGGTGCAACGTGTGACGTCACTCTGAGAAGGAGTGTGTGTCTGTGTGTGTGTGTGTGTGTCTGTGTGTGTCTTGCCGAGCTGATGTTGTCCTGGTTCTGTCTGACTCGCTCCAGTTCTGGAGTCACGGCCACACTCGAGGCCTTCACAGAACTCTGCTTGTACTTCACCTGCAAGACGAACAGGAGACGACCTTTAGTCGAGAGTGTGCGCGTGTGTGTGCGTGTGTGTGTGTGTGTGTGTGTGTGCGTGTGTGTGTGCGCGTGTCCTCACCGAGCTGACGTTGTCCTGGTTGCGTCGGACGCGCTCCATCTCCGGCGTGTTGGCGACGGCGGTTCCTCGGCCCACCTCCTCCCTGTAGCAGACCTGAGCAGAGCCGAGAGTTAAAGGGAGCAGAGCGCCTCCTCCTGCGTCCACACGCGATTAACACGCACGTCACTGATCCTCTTGGCGTTCTCCCTGGCGAGGACGAGCTCCGGCGTCTCCGTGACGGAGGACATGAGGCCTCTCATCAGCTTTGAGTCCCAGGAGTAGTGCAGCTGGGGACAGAAGGACGTACGCAGGAAATGACGGTTGTGACTCATGCGAGCGACGTGGAATAAGAGCTGCGAGCGGGAGGAGCCTCACAGGACTGACGTGTCTCTGATTGGCTCTGACTCGCTGCGTCTCCGCTGTCTCTGCGATCAGGCTGCGGCGTCCCTTCAGACGCTCCGCCTCGTCCCTGTACTTCTTCTGTGAGGACAGAGGGGACAGGAAGTCCCACTGATGTGATGGGAACCCTAACCTTACACACACGCACACAGACACACACACGCACACTCACCTGGCTGTAGACGTCTTTGAGGTAGGAGGCGTGCAGCAGCTCTGGAGTGTCTGTAACCGTCCCGTAGCAGCTCTCTCTGAGCTGCTCCGTCTGCCTGTAGGACCTCTGTGACGCACACACACGCACACACACACACACGCACACACACGCACACAATATATCACGTATGTGCTCATGTGTGCGTGTCCAATGGGTTTACATAGAGGTCAGTAAGGGGTCACCTGGCTCTGGATCTCAGAGGCTCTTTTCACCCTCAGCAGCTCAGGTGTCTCCTCCAGCCCGACGCCAGATAAGCCCCGCCCCTTCACTTCCTGCTCCAAGTCCTTCCTGTACGCCTTCTACACGCGGAGGGAATGAATCTCTACTCACGCTCTTTGTTTCCTACCGGCCCATTTGTTGTTGTCTCATTTTGTTTCTGTTTCTCTTCTTCTTGTATCTCAATTTAGTCTTTAGTGTCTCTTTGTGTTTCAAGGCCTCACAGAGCGTGTGCGTGTGCGTGTGTGTGCGTGCACGCGTGTGCGTTACCTCGCTCAGCAGGCTGCTAGCGCGGCAGGCTGCCCAGGTATCCAGGCGTCAGGTCCACGTCCATCAAAGGCTTTGCCTTTAATCTGCTCCTCGTAGTCCCTCCCGGTACTCTCTCTGAGGGACGGAGACACATGAAGAAGACGGATCGAACCACCGCTAAACACGAGTGTGAGGGAGGAGCTTCACCTCGCTCTGATTCCTCTGAGCTTCTTTGGACACTTTGTACGCCGCAGTGTCCCCGAACTCCATCTGACAACGGCCTCTGCTCCGCTCGTACTCCTCCCGGTACCTCACCTGAAGACACGGACAGAGTGAGACAGACACCGAGCTGTGATGGGCAGAGGGAGGCGGCGGCGCCGCGGCGACCGACCTGGCTGTGCAGCACGGCGTTCTCTTTGTGGTGGAGCTGCTCAGCCGTCTCCGCCGCCGCGTGGAACCGGGCCTTCTCCTCTTTGTGCTTCTTCTTGTACTCCACCTGTGTACGCGCGCACACACACACACACACACACACACAGGTGTATGTCCGTACTTCTCCACCGGGAGGAGCCCCAGCAGCGATGATGTCATACGTTGCTCTGCAGCTTGCTGGCGTGGAGCGCGTGCTCCAGCTGCAGGAGGTTGGGCAGGTCGGAGGAGCCTTCTGCTTTCTGGTTGGTCCTGTACTTCACCTGGAGGACGGGAGGACACGTGGATGAACTGATGCATCCTGGGTATGCGTCTGTTTCTCTTTCAGAATGGGTGGTGCGTTCAGGGACCCGGAATTTAAAAGCCTTTCGTCTGATACTTTATTGCCCGATCAGTTCGAAAGAAGCGGCATCTCGTGCTGAGACACGGCGAGCTGTTGCACAACGTTGTGAAGTGGAGCGGCTCTTCTTCTTCTGTGCTACGTGGGCGGCGAGCCCGCTGTACCCGACCCACGGGGGGGTGTGGGTCTGTGTGTGTGTGTGTGTGTGTCTGCATCAAAGCGCGTGTGTGCGCTCACTCTTCAACTTCTCCAGCTCTCATCCCACACTCCCTCTTTATTTGCCTCACAAAAAGGTTGCCATGGTTACGCCCACACAACAGGGTGAATGAGTGTGAGTCAAAGTGAATGAGGCCCACACGGACGCGCCCACACACACACACACACACACACACACACACACACTGTCGGGATGGTTCAACAGTAGAGGAAACAGATCGGATTATTCCGATGAGTCGAAACGAGCACGTTGTCATATATATATGTATATATATATATATATATATTATACACACACATATATTGTGTTGTCGGAGGCGGGTCATGTGACCACCCACCTGACTGGCGAGGGCAGCGGCGGCCTGTGAGTGCCTGAAGGAGAGACAGTCCAGCGGGTTGTACTTGGGCCTCTGGCCCTTTAGGTCCCTGTCGAAGCTCTCCTTGTACTTCACCTGGGGAAGGTGAGGTTATTTAGCGGGGGGCTTTCCCGATGCATGCTGGGTAGACTCTGCGTGTCTGTGCGTTACCTGGCTGGCCAACTTTGAAGCCTCCTTCAGGTGCTGGATGTCGGTTCTGTCCAGCAGAGACACGTCGGGGTGGACGGGCTGAGGGACGCTCTTGTAGGACACCTGTGGAGACGCACACAGGAAACAACACACACGGTAAACAACACACAACTAACAACACACACGGTAAACAACACACAACTAACAACACACACGGTAAACAACACACAACTAACAACAGCATCCAGAAGGAGGAAGAGGAGGATGAAGAGAAAGAAGAAGGGAGATGATCTTTCTTCTCACTCAGATGACGCAGCTGGTGAATGGTGACGGTTGTCATGGAAACACATTTTGGACGGGAGGAGGTCACACACACACACACACACACACACACACACTCACGTCGCTGGCCAGCTTGGTGGCGTTGGCGGCGTGGAGGATGTCGGGCCGGTCGGCCCCCGAGCTGTAGAGGCGGAGCTCCTCGCGGCCCCTCCTGTAGCTGACCTGAGACCAGCAGTTATCAGTGACACCGGGCGCAGTGGACGCGGTCGCCGCGGCGACGCCATTAGATTAGAACACAGTTCTGATGCTTTGACTTCGACATGGTGTCGATTTATGGGGAATAAAACCTTTTTACTCCAAAAGGTCGACAAACGTAAACAAGATCGTTGCACATTTACATATTTAAGGAAAACATTGAGTGTTTACTTCACTCTGCTTCCTGGTGACCTCCATGGCGTGCTCCACCTCCGGCAGCGCTCCCATGGAGGAGTAACTCGACTTCCCCTTCTCACGGTTATACTGCTCCTTATAGGACTTCTACACAGGGGGGAGGAGAGGAGGGGGAGAGGAAGTAAGGGGAGAGGGGGTAAGGAGAGAGGAGGTAAGGAGAGAGGAGAAGGGGGAGAGGAGGTAAGGAGAGAGGAGGAGGGGAGGGAGGGAGGAAGGAGAGAAGAGGTAAGGAGAGAGAAGAAGGGGGAGAGGAGGAAGAGAGGATGTAAGGAGAGAGGAGAAGGGGGAGAGGAGGTAAGGAGAGAGGAGGGGAGGAAGTAAGGAGAGAGGAGGCAAGGAGAGAGGAGAAGTGGGAGAGGAGGTAAGGAGAGAGGAGGAGGGGAGGGAGGTAGGAAGGAGAGAAGAGGTAAGGAGAGAGGAGAAGGGGGAGAGGAGGGAGAGA